GGGGGTGCTCAGATGTGGTTCGCTCCTTCTTTCCTATCAAACGTCTATCCTCCTTATATCTTCTCCTTCTTTTTTTGTGTTTGTTACTCTCTTGTGACACTTCTAATCTCCGGCACTTATATTTATATAATCTTATTGATTTGCAAGCGCCGTGAAACTTACTAAAATTAAAACGAAAGTAACTCAAAGTCAACGGTTCAGGGTGTCTTAAAAAGAGAACTCACCTTTAGAGCGATAACTCTATCATCTCAGCACTAATTCTAACAAAATTTTTTACAAGCAAAATTCAACCATGATGGCATCAAGTCTGTAAATAGGAATAAAAATATATCTAAGTGTTCGAGAAATATTAAGTTTCAAAAGTTTCAACCAAAATTGGGTAAAATGCAAAATTTTAATTCTTGAAAAGCGTTCACCTACAGGGGCGTGATCGGCACGTTCTGGTTCCAGGACAAGGACTGTCAAACCTTGATAATAATAAAAATAATAATTGCATTTGTATAGCGCATATCCATGCTCAAGAGCATGCTATATGCGCTTTACAACTATTATTACCCCAGCAGACCCTCTGAGAACACTCAGAAACATTCTCAGCTTCCGCGGAAGCATACAGTGCAAGCTGCGGATTTTCCGCGCTCAAACACTATCAAACTGACAAGATCTTTCACCGTCTATAGCCGGGTACCCATTCCCACATGGGTGAAGTGAGGAAAATGTGTGCAAAGTGCCTTTCCCAGGGACACAACGTCGGGCCCCTAACGGGATTCGAACCTAAGACCTTACGGTTGCGAGTCCGAGAGCCTAACCATTAGGCCACCGACGATAATAGTCACATCAGATAGTTATCGCACTGTGCTGATAAAGTTTTGTTGAAGTTTGGGGAGGGGGTGTTAGGCTGCAGAGGCGGGGTTCCAGTGGGATTGGGCCTCACCCTAGACGGTCATATCGCCTAGGCCTCGCCCCAAACGTTCTTCTATGGAACGGCTTATAAGCCGAAAGTTTGCAAATGACTGGTCACCAAATTCTCCATAACTTGAGCCCTTTCAATTATCTCCTTAAGCTTATCTCATGGACAGAGTCTACGGAAACAACAAACAGTTAAAACTTAAAGTTGACCATGATGTCCAAAGAAATTACCCAGAAACATGCCACTGGGATATTCAGAATTTCCAGCGGCATATTGAAGCTTATAGAGTAGAGAGAGAAATAGTCAGTACCTGGAGCTATGAACAGCGGTCACTTTCCTGGGTTTATTTGGCAATATATTAATTTTGTACACTTAATATTTGTACTTCACTGCATAGATAGTGACTATTTGCAATGGAACAATAAATTGGATATTTTAGAAGTTGCCAAGTTTTACGCTTCACTCAGTTTTGATTGAAATTTTTAAAACTTGGTAATTTTCGAACATGAGGATTGATTTTCTTCATACTGGATAGTGTAATGTCCTCATGGTTGAAATGTATTTCTTCAAAGTTTTGTTGAAATTGGTTCAAAGTCGACCGCGTTACTACCCTTTAAATGGGTCCTCTTCTTTTTTTGACTCCGGGTGCATCAATGATCACAGTTACAGCTGACCATCGTGACTGCTATAGTATTAGAGTTCCTTTCCTATTGTTTTCAATCTCGGGTGCTGTTGTTGTTGTTGTTGTTGTTGCTGTCGTTGTTGTTGTCTTACAGTATTTTGAATATTTGAGAAACTGAAGAATTTACTCACTTGAGCCTATTCCCGAGTATTAATAGGACGCCGCCGTCGGCCCAGTGGCCTAATCCCGTGTATTTACGGGTTGTGTTTTGTCGAACGATATCTCCCATGTTTTTAGGTTACAAGCTACAGAAAGCGGAGAGCCAACAGTTGACCCACGTGTGTCATTTCTTTAAGAATTTGGTGAAGTTATGTGAGATTCTTTTTCTAGCTGTTACGGACTAAATTAGTCACTCCTGCATTGCGATAGATGATTTTATCATGCGTTACACCCAGACATTACCATTTCAAAATACTGGTACAATAAAAACTATTTGGAAAAAAATAGATGCAGTTTTCTTTTTCTTTGAGAGCATTTCTTTCTTTTTCTTGTTCCATCTTTTTCCAAAAAAATTATGATAGCTTCCACAGTCTTATTGTGATTAACGCTTCAGTATACTCAAACATGTCAGACTGCAATGGTTGTTGAGTGGAAAATATTTAACAAATTGAAGCCAGAGGGCTCATGGCTCGCTCGTAAATATCAGGTGAAACTAGTACCCTGGACGCCGCTACTGGCGGGAGGAGCGTAATTGCAACTCGTATTGTTGGACACACCACTGTCCAGGTTGGCATCTCGCTGCCACGCGCGCGAGAAGCGTAATTACCAACTGGACGCCACCACCCAGGGCGGCATCCCGTAGAACAGGGAACCTTAGAGTGGGGCGTATCTAT